TTATCATAAAGGAGTAATAAGATACCTGTTAAAAAATGTCCTTGAAATTTAAGAAATAAAAAAATAAATAGTGGTATATGCAAATGTGTGGTGCTCGTAGCACCTGTGGGCACCAGAAGGTTGGGGAGGATTCCCTATCAGTGAGCTCTAACGCTCAGTAGCTGCCTGTCCAGGTCCGGGGAGGGGGTGGAGTTGATGAAGCAGTAACAAAAGCCCAGCTGTTATCCATCAGTTGAGACCCTTTCCTCCCCTTTTCCGAGCTCCTAAACTGCCTGGCTGTTGAAGTTGATTATGCATTGGCTGGTATTTGAGGAAGAACAACCTGCCTGGTAGAGCCACTATTAGTGGAAAACACAAGGAGAATACTTGCCCTTTTATGTAACATTGAAATTAAAATGAGATTCTTGGCTGGTGAAGTGGACATGTCTCCATAATACAGGAACTGATGCCTTGGAGAGAGTTTGAAGCTGAAACTTAAGTGCAGTTATGGCAAGAAATCCTCATTTAAATTAAAATGAGAGGGCACAAATTCATCCTCAGAGTACTTCTTAGGTTCCAGAACCACAGCTCTGCAAAGAATTTATCAAAGATTGGGCAAAGAAAATCTTTTCTTAGAGGAAATTTTTGCTTTTCCTTGCTGAATGTTCCTCTCAATCTGATGACATAACTTCCTCAACTTCAGTTATCAAGAGGAGCAGAGCCCTCAGTAAAACTTGAGAACTTGCCTCTGTTTTCCTTGAATATAGATGTCTCTGTGTGTGCAATATAGATAATTGTGTGTGTGTGCGTGTGGGCACATACAGATTCTTAATTTCTCTTTTCTCAGTCAGTCGCACTCTTGCCTGCATATTGACGTTGCATCGGAAAGTTCCCAGACAGCTGGTGCCAGTAAAAATGACCAGTGGAAAACGGGCCATTTCTCCTGCTTAGTCCCTCTGACCTGTTTCACACTAGTCTCAGCCACTGGTTGAATTCCAGCAGTGGGAAGTGAGTTGATTTTGTTTTGTTTTGTTTTAAGCAAGGGGTAGGGAATTCTATTCAAACTATAACTCTCAGTTCCACTGGAAGAGCAAGGCACACTGCTGGCAAATGGAAAAGAGGCTTCCACTTTGCACCAAGAGCCAAAATCCAGTTTGAGTAGATTGCTTAACAATTATCAACCCTATCTTTCTTAATGTCTCTTAAAAAAAAAAAAAAAAAGACAAAAGAAAGAAATACTTTCTTATGAAATCTTATGAAGACAGTTTCTTAGTATAGAGAAGGAAATTCTTTCATTTAAAACAAAGTCATCATTTTCTTTTTTTCTTGCTTTCCTTCCACTCAGAACTATTTTTCCACCTGTATCCTAGTCAGACACCTAGCATTGCACTGACTTCAATCTGTTTATAATAAGACTTTGCATCCTTTTCTTCCAAGTAAAAGACAGGCCTTATGATAAAACACTTTAAAGGTGGGTAAGTAATTACCATTTTATGTTCACAGGACAGCTGACTTTAAGTAACCAGCCCATGGTCACACAAATCAACAAGAAAAGCCACTTAAAATAGAACCTAAAAGTTCTGTTTTTCAGTTCCCATTTGCATTATTCAATGTGGTATTCGTGAAGCAGGAACAGAACTCATATATTCTCATTTCTCAGCAATGGTCTATGCAAGTATTGTCTGGAGGTTTCCTAGGGTCCTTCCAGCATTGCTAGTAGCAGGAGTTCCAGCATGAGAGTTGCTTTTCATTGCTGAGAAAGGAAAGCCCAATAAACCCTGCAAAAAAATTCTTTCAGAGCTTCTCATATTTAATTACATTTAATAGGTGTGCAGGTGATGAGAGAAAAAAATCCTTACTTTTTTTTTTTTTTGCTGTTGTTCCATTTCTGTGGCTGAACATTTCAACGCTTCATTTCCTGTGGTGTTTTTCCTGCAAGGAAATAATAAATTGATGAAGTATTGGCAGCATTGGCTTAGTAATGGTTAACAGTGAGTTTGCTGAGTCAGATAAGCACTGGGCAGGGTCTCATAGACTTCACGCAGTTAGCACAGATAAATGCCTGGAAGATCCACCCCTTTCACTGTGCATGGGGTTTTGGGGGGGGCAGGGGGAGGACAGGGGCAGTATTCATTCTTTAAAAGGAAGCTATTGTTAGCGAGGTGAAGTGGGCAAAACCTGGCAAGTGAAGGAGTTTGGGAACATGAATCCTCCTAATTTTTAATATGCTTCTGCTCTGATACTGAATACACACTTTGGAAAATGTCACTGATTGTCCCTAAATTCTGACTGGGAGGAATACTAAAGGTGAGAGATACTGTGCGGTCCAGAAGAAGATTTTACAGGAAAACTATATTACATGACCAGATCATTTCTAAACAAATACTCACTGTTTTAGCTGTGTTCATCCAGTGCACCTCTAAGTGGACCTCAAGGAGCAGCTAGCACAGCAGATGGTTTAACTAGTTTCCTGCTTTTGAATTGATAAGGGTGCTTCATGCTTGAAATAAAAGGTGTTCTTCATCTGTACTTTTGGGCGTCTGACCCGTCCTTAACCTAGGTAGTCTCTCTCTGAGGTTTCTCTGTGCTGGTATCTGACCAGTGTCTGGTCTTGTGGCTTTTGCGTATAATGAGAAAACTGCTTTAATTTTCACATCCTGAGCATCACATGAGACAGGAAGCTGCACCCTTTTTCATGGTGTAACTGAACTCGTTGGTAGAAGGGCCTAGCTGCAAGAGAAATAGCCTGAACAGAATGATTGTATGTTATCTGTAGACTTAGGGGCACGTTGTAATTTTATTTATTCTGATTTGATATGCTTTTTTTAGCTGCAGATTTCTCAGTGGAGACATTCTGGATTTACACTAGAATTAGGAATATAAAACTCAGTTCTGCTTTTATAGTATTTCCAAAATCCATCTAAAGAGACTGAAATACAGATTTCTGTGTCTTGGCCTAAGTTTTGGCACATGCCAGTTCCCCGTGGGCTATAATGTTGCCTGAAATCTGTCCTAGAGTGGGGCATAATGAGTGAGTAACATGAAGAGGAGATGTTGTGGTCAGTGTCTGATCACATTGCTGCCTTTAGGTGTTTTCCTGTAGCTGTGAGCAGATTTGGGTCTTTGTCATGGTACTGTGTGGAACAAGAGCAGTGCAGTGCGGTAACTGCCTGGAGTGGCACTTCCAACGTCTCCAGGTGGAGGGTTCAGAGGGTTTGTGGCGCCGTAGCCGTCATCCCGTGGAGAGGGGGGTATTTCTGGGTTTCGTATGTTGCGCTGCATGAGCGCGTAGCGAGAGGGAGCTCCTGACTCAACCCGCACATGATCTGTGTAAGCCAAATGGGGCCATGGATGGAGGGGACTGGCAGGCTCATGCCAGCAGTGCAGAGGTGACATTGGCAACATCATTTAGAGTCTAGCTCAGGTGCTTCACCACCTCAGTGAGTGCTGGTGTGGTAGGGATACTGAATAGGCACAGGATGGGCAATGGCTTGAAGTTAGAAGCACCTATGTGCCCCATGTAGTACCTGCTTTTCTCTGTCGTTTTCTTCTCCTCTTCTCCATCCCTTTCTTTGTAGGGAAAGGAAATCTCTTTTTCCTTTTACATGTTCCCTGTGTACTGGATTTTTCTTGCTTCAGCTTATGTTTTCAGATCAACACTGGCTCCTGGCAACAAAACGTGAAGCATCTTTTCCCATGTCTGCTGAAATTTTTCGTGCTGAGAGCCCYGTACCTTGGATGTCAGCCTTGATTTAAGAGGAAAAAAAGGGGGAACAGTGGAGAAAGGGAGAGAAGTTTCTTCAAAAACGCAGCTGAGTTGATGCTGTTAAAATGTGCCCCTCAGAGCCTGTCGGAGCCTGACACGTGGCTCCTCCTTTCCCAAAGCTGCTGGGTTTGYACTTGACCTGTGGTCCCGGTCCCACGGCAGCTGCGCAAGTGGGGCCAGGCGGAGGGGGGCTCCACACTGGCTCCTGCCACCTGTTGCCTCCTCCATTCCAAGCCCTCCCGCCCCATGGCCCCCTCCCCACCGCTCACCAGCCCCAGTGGATAGGGCTGGGATTCGTCGCCACTTGCCAAATACCTTTCTAATGCTGTCACTAATTCTGCACAGGCAGCATATCTGAGAGCAAAAATGAATCTTTTCCAATGCTTTGTCCTGTGTTTCCTACAAAAAGCATTTAGAAATGTCTTTTCCTAGTTGGATGGCTGGGAGGGACCATGCCCTAGCCCTTTCTAGAGGCTCTAGGAAAGCCTGAAGCTGTGCCAAAAGAATCCTTTGCAGATCCACTGAAACTGGCATTTGGCACTGGCACGGGCTAATTCTGCACTCGCAGTTACATACATACACACACCCATGTCATTCTATCTTATCTGCTACATATGGAAAGCTGCCCCAAGCTCCAGAGTGCCAGAATGTTTTACTAAAACTTCCAGACTTGGTTTGATTGTGTTACTATGAGCATTGGGCTGTAGAAGTCATGAGTGGGGTGTGCTGCTGGATGGACTGGCATTAACTAAATATTCAGCCATTTGAGCTGTAGTTCTGCGCTGTCTAAATGGAAGCAGGAGAGACTGTTCATGTTCTTGCTGTCATAGTTTCCCTCCCGAGTACAGTGTGGGAAAGGGACAGTACTGCTCTGGTTACAGAGCTATTGGGTTTGCCTGCACTTTGGTTGGGAACCTGCTTTCGGTTGCACTCGGAGTCTTCAGGTAAAGTCATTTAGGTCACAGTTTTCAAAAATGAGTAATCATTTGGAGAAACAGTCTTTGAGTTCTCAACTTAAGATGCCTTAGAGGGGATGGGCTTTCAGAGCACAAGACACTGCCAAGCAAGATCTTTTTTTCATTGGCAACATGACCTGCTTGGAAGTCTTTTGGGCTCTCAAAATTTTGCCCTTCGGATGTGCCTATGCATCTGTAAAACACAGTTGTGAATACTTTTGTGCCCTCAAAAAGCAATATTGAGAGGTAAAGGTGGAAAAAAATATGACGCAAACATGAGCTATTGCTAATTATTGCAGCGTGGTTCTGCCACCTTACTTAGAGCCGGGTTGGATGGGAATATGGAAAGTATCCGAATTGCAAAAAGAAAGAAGGAAAGAAGAGAAACAAAGACAGAAACAAAGGTGGTATGTTGCTCTTTCATTATTTGTAGTCATGATGCAGAACGAGGTCCTGCTGATAGACTTGTTCTTGCTGGCAGGGCTTCAAGCTGGTATCCCCAATGCACCAGTTAAACCAGTAGTTACCGGTTTTTTTTGCAAGCCACACTGGGGCTTTAGCAATTTTATTCCTTCACAGTGTTGAAGGAACGGGATTCTGCTTGCCAAAGGGCTTTCTTATGCTTGAGGGTGATTTATGGGCCGAGCTGAGCCACTTGTGGAAAAGGCAAAGCAGCTCTTGGCAGCACCCGCAGAATTCACTGCAGCTGTGGGGTAGTGAAGTCATCAGCATAACAACCGCTGCAAACAGAATAACAAAGTCTGTTCTGTTCTCATTTAAAGTAAGCTGTCCAGTTCAGCAACAACATTAAAACTTACCTTTCTGCATACAAAAGTTTCTTAAAAAAATAAAAAGGCAGATATTTCTCTGCAGCATGGTGTAAACATCTTGCTAATATGCCCGCCCAATTACCCTTCTTGCACGATCTACCCTTTATCTGGGTACTTACAGTGAAGGAATAAAACCACATATATCGTGGCATATGTTTCTCTCTGCCCCTTATTTTGCTCTAGCATTTGTTATTCCTTAAGTCACAGTCATGAAATAACTGTTTGCTTTAAAAATGTTAAAAAGATGAATGTTTCTTACTTTTAGTACAAAATTTGCCTTTGTCTTAAACCTTCTTCCTAAGTTTTTTTTCCCATCTGTCTTTGTTTCAGATCCCTTCAGATCCTCCTGCTTCCAAAAAGCCAAAAATAGATGACTCTGCTTCCCAATCTCCAGCATCTACTGAGAAGGAAAAACAGTCCAGCTGGTTACGGTCCTTATCCAGTTCATCTAATAAGGTGATTACTGAGTGTTTTGTGTTTGAAAGAAAGATGAGATTAGTATCCTTCTTGTGCAACCAGAAGAGAAGATTAGGGGAAAACTTTGCCCAAATACATAGTTTTTTTAGCAGTCCTCTCCTTTTCCCAGCACACATTCAGCTGTACTGCTCTCCCAATTTTCTTGCTACCTCTGAATAGGCACTAGCCTTCCTTGTGAGGATGAAAACAAGCAATCTCTTCATGCCTTTGAGGTAGAGGAGTCCTGAAAGGCTGAGAAAGCCTCATGTGGTCTCTGCAAACCACATATAAATTCTTGGCAAAGGAACAACCCTGCGGGATTTTGCATTAGTGCAATTCATCCCTTCCAGTAGAACCTGCTAAGCAAGTAGGTCCTAGTTAGTGGGGGATCAGTTTTAGAGATATCACAATGTGTATTTACAAGCATCGCCAGAGCTCCCTTGTGATTTATACTACAAAGGATTGTCCTTTATTTATTTATTTATCTATTTATTTATCTATCTATCTATCTATCTATTTATTTATTTATTTATTTGTCTTTGCCCTCCTCCCTAGAGCATTGGCTGTGTCCATCCTCGTCAGCGTCTTTCAGCTTTCCGACCCTGGTCTCCTGCCGTATCAGCAAATGAGAAGGAGCTCTCCACACATCTCCCTGCGTTGATCCGAGACAGGTAAGGAACGTAAAGGGCAAGGGGGACGTTGGCAGCCACGGAGACGCTGCAGCAAGTGGCTGTGTGATTGCTTCCGTGCGCTGCTGCTGGGGGCCTTGTCGTTCCTTCAGGTCAGGCCACTGTCATCACAATAAAAGTGCTTGCAGCTGTGGTGTTTCGGTTAGGAGAGGGGAAACGAACAAACCCCCGAAGTGTCTGTATTTAGTGTAGTCATTAGAAGGGTTTTAAGTGAAGCAGTKGTATAAAAGTTTGAAATGGAGGCTACTTCTACAAACTGTTGATAATTTGGGAGTGCTATCAAGGGCTTCACTGTTTAAAGCAGGGTTGTGCCTTTCTCTCGGGGCAGCTGGTCAGGGCCCGGGCAGTCATTTCCAGACAGCTGCCGATCGGTAACTGCAGCAGCTCTGGAGCAGGGAACTGTCACCACCCGCCAGCAGCTGCCTCCTGTCTCCGGTATTGACAGCACCATGGGAAGCCAAGGGACTTTACAGAAAGTCCAGAGCACCTCTCCCCTCCTGCTGGTCTCCAGAGGTCTCGGGAGAGCAGGAGAGTTTGAGAACAGCTCCTCAGTCTGTATGATCCATAGAAGAGCTGAAAAATCTTCCTTTTAAGTAAAGATTGCATTGAGCTGTAGATGCAGAATTGAAGCAGCAAAGACAGTCTTGACTGTGGCTTTTGCAGGCTTCTGTGTATCTACTCTTACAGCTTTAATGTCTTAACATAGATTATTTTATAAATGTAGATTAACAAATGTGCAGTGAGGGGCATGCTGTCAAGAAATCAGTGATACACCAGAATAGGCTGTTTGCCCTGTTCTCACGCAACGTTGCAATGCTCGCTGCGTTTCTTCAGGCAGTTCTGCTCCCAAGGCTGCAAAGCCTTCATGGACAGACAAGTAGAACTTGTCTGTTTAGGAAAGTCAATAATGCATGAGGATCAAGGGGAAGCAGCATCATAATTGTTGAACAGTGGGAAATAGGATCTCCTTGGTGCTTAGAGTATGCAGTACTTCAAATATAATGTCTCCTGCCTGGATGGAAATAACCTGGGTAAATTTTATGCACATTTAGATGGATGCAAAACACTTTATGTAGTCAGATCCTCAGTTGGTCTAAATCAATGGATCTGCTTTGTCAACCTGTGTCTTGCTGTTTCAGTGCAACACATGAATTAGGAAGCATGATAAAAGGCAAGGATCTGACTGTGTTTTCCTCTTTGTGGTTTTTTTTTTTTTTTTTTGCCTCCCCTTCTCAAACAGTTTTTATTCCTACAAGAGCTTTGAGAGTGCCGTGGCCCCCAATGTGGCACTGGCACCCCCTTCCCAACAGAAAATGGTGAGCAGCTCGCCCTGTGCCACTGTCGTGTCCCGGAGCAGCGAGGCCGGGAGCAGCCCGGCCCAGCCCCGCAAACGGAAACTCGCTGCCGAGAACCCCCCCGCCCCCGAAGCCCCAGCCACCGTCACTGCTGCTGAGGAGGAGAAGGAATCAGAAGCAGAAATTGAAGTAGAAACGAGGGAGGAATGTAAGCGACAGCTCTATCTGCCTTTAATTTTTGTCTTGCTTTACATGAATAGTATATTTTCTTCCATTTTTTTACTGATTAAATGTTTCCCCTTTACGAAAGGGCCTCAACACATTTTGACTTAGAGACATTATTTATTTAGACATCTTTTTATTAATTTTAGATGTTTCTGTTTTTCAGTCACCTCCTCCTTGTCCTCGCTCTCCTCACCATCCTTTACTTCATCCAGCTCTGCCAAGGACATGAGCTCCCCGGGGATGCAGGCACCCGCTGCAGTCAGTGCTTCGTATGAGGCGGCAGCGCATCCTGACGCGCACAGCAGTGGGCTGGAGGCTGAGCTGGAGCACCTAAGGCAGGCCCTGGACAGTGGCCTGGATACAAAAGAAGCCAAAGAAAAATTCCTTCATGAAGTTGTGAAAATGAGAGTGAAACAGGAAGAGAAGCTAAACGCTGCTTTGCAAGCCAAGCGCAGTCTACACCAGGTAGATCTTTTGTGATTTTTGAGGTAGGGCAAAATCAGTATATGGAAATGGAAGATAGAGCACAGTCAGGCTTGCATGCCCTCTGTAAATGTTTTAAGTGGAACTATAACCAAGCTAGAAAGGTAATCCATTAGATTAAATGAGGGCCTTGTGTCATCTATTCTGGGGAACAAAAAAGAAAACCCACTGTTTGTCAAAATCAGGTGTCCGCAGCCRTTGTGTGCTTGCACATAACGTTTTTGGTTGTTTTGGGGAATAGTTCCGAGATATGGTTGTGCGTACCACGACTCTGCGGTATTTAGAAAGTGGTAGTAGATTTCAGATATTCTATTAAAAGGAGGGAGGAGGTGAAGGAGAGGTGATAGTAAGTGATTAGATACGAACACAGTGGAAATTGTAAGCAGAGTTTGCCTACTTATATTCCCGCACAGGGTACAGTTGGGCAGCACAAGCGCTCTGCTGCATCTCCCATGTGAGGACACTCATGTCCCRGTCCTCAGGAAGGGAGTCGAGCGCTGGCTTTTCAGCGGATCTGCTTGTTCTTTGGGGCCTTGGGCAGATCACTTCATTTCCTTGTGTTTAGTGAATGCATGTTTCACTTAATGCAATTAGAAGTAAGAAAAAAGAAATATATTTCAAATTTAATTTCATTTTTAGGTATGCAAATTAAATACATTGTGTACATATATACAATACATATACATTGTATATATAAAGATGACATATACAGCGTATATTTAATAAGAAGTAGTGACAAAACAGTAGAATGTTGAGTCATTAAATCAAGCAGCACGTCAGAACGAGGGCATCTCTGGCTGAGGCATTTGGGCAAGCAAGGGATTGCGCTGCACACGCAGGAGGTCCCGGGCGCTTCCGGGGCGGGAAGGGAGGTTGTCGGGAGAGCGAATTTCCCATGACCTGGCTGCCGCCTTCTTACCAGGAACATGCTGCTGAGAGGAGTCCTCTGACAGCGAGGAAATGCTGCTTCTGTGGTGAAAAAAAAAAAAAAAAGGGAAAGCTGAAGTGTAGCTTGTCTGCTTTAACCATTTAGGAGACAGACCTTTAGGGAGGCGAATTTTTCTAAGCAGAAGTATGTGCTGTGCTTGTGAGGCACAGGCCTTCTTTAGCAACTCCTTAAAAACTCTTAAAAGCTTTTTAACAATGTATTAGTTTCTTCTGCTGTCCCTTTAGTTTCTCATTATCACTTTAATTAATGACTTTCTCTTTGATTGGAGATTTCATGGTAGCAGTTGAGAACCTAGACAGCAAGAGATGCAGTTCCCAGAGCGCAGCAGTTTAGATTTAGCTGAGAGTTTTAGCCCAGAGTTCCCCAGATATTTATGACAGAGCAGTTCACTGGCTACTTGCCAGAAGCCTTAAGGTAAGTTGCACGCAAGTTACTGCAGCATTGCAGAGTTGTTTCAGAGTTAGAAAGATTTTTATATATAAAAAAAAATATTATCTTTATATGTATGCATTTTTCCCCTTGTACATTTGCCAAGGTTGGGTTTGTGGGGTTGTTTGTTTGTTTGTTTTTCGGTAGGGAAAGGCTTGTTAAACTGCTGGTCACTGATCTCTCCAGCAAGGTTTGTGCAGCGTTGCTGTACACAAAGGCCATTCAAAAACTGCATTTATCACAATGCTATGCAGCTTCAGTTCAGAGTCCCCACAGGTGCAGGCATTACACTTGATTCATTTRAAACTTGGAGCTAGTGTAGGACGCGTTGCAAGGAGCTGTTGCCAACTCGAGATCATCCTTATTCAGTCACAGATGGTGACAGCTATTTTGCTTGACAAAGCAAACTGTGGATGTAGCATTGTGTTCTATTATCCAAGAATTCAGGGTAAGTTTGGCCTAGGATTTCATGCCCATTTGAAGGAGAAAAGTTTGCAAGATTTGAACCAGGTTTAGATATGTCTTCCCAGTTAGAAGAAACAGAATGGTGGGAATTCAGTTTGATCCGTTCCTGCACARTAAATCTATCCCTGCTTCTCAGTTCTCACATGTTCAACTACTTGGCATTCCAGGAGCTAGAATTCCTAAGAGTGGCTAAGAAGGAGAAACTGAGAGAAGCAACAGAGGCAAAGCGTAACTTGAGGAAAGAGATTGAACGTCTGCGAGCTGAGAACGAGAAGAAAATGAAGGAAGCCAACGAGTCTCGGATACGACTAAAGAGGGAGCTGGAGCAAGCCAGGCAGATTCGGGTTTGTGACAAGGGCTGTGAAGCAGGGAGGCTTCGGGCCAAGTACTCAGCCCAGGTAAGACCTGAACACTGAACAACAGAGTCAGGAAGGGCTATTGCCCTGCGGATTTCAGAGTAAGTTCCAGTATCTGGTCGTCTTCTGATGCCGCTGGGCCTCATTTTCTCTAATTTGATACATCTCTGTCTTTTTAATACTGGTGCCCACATCGTGTCAGTTCACAACCCTAATTTTAATGCAAAATGTTAACTACTTTTTAGCACTTGGACCCCCTTGTCAGTCCCACTGGCTTACCTAGAACTTCACATTTGTCAGTTGAAAATCTCCATTTCCAGAGAACAAAGACAAATGCTAGACTTTACTTCAGTTCTACTTATATCCTACTGTCCATGCCCATACATTGGGATGCATTTCACTACTGTAAATATTAGGCAGAGTCACTTTCTATCATAGGATAAAAGATAAAGATGAGCCTAGACCTACAGGAACCATTTAAGATGAAAGCAGCAGCTGAGACCACCAGTACACAAGCTGCAGGAAGGGGTGTTGTTTACAGCGCTAAAGCACAAGAAGAGCAAACTCACAGGTCTTAGAAAATACTTGCAGTGTGATCTCAGTGAAAGTTCTAGGAATGCAGGAACATGCTGTTACAAGCCATGTGTATGCTTAAAGCTTTCAAGTTAAAAACCTTCCCACCCTCTCCACATCAGAGTCTCTTGTAACAAGCAATTTAAAAGCTTATTTAAACTGTCCAAAGCCAAGTGAACCAAGMGCTCGGGCTGCACGTCCTTAAGTCGCCTTGTTGTGTGTCGGTGTTGCAGGGCATGTGGAATGCGAGGCCATCCCCTTTTCCAAGCTCTCTGCAGTGACCCAGCGTAACAGGCTGAGCTGGGACAGAGCAGCAGCCTCCTGGATTTCCGGGAAACGGTCCCAAAGAGGAGTCCCCTGCACGCCCAGACTTCCCTTCCTCGATTGAACCTCTGTTGCCCCGTAGTTCCTTTCCTAGAAAAGGGCCTGGTCCAGCACCTGTTGTTAACTCCCACAAACTGCTGTTTCTCTTGGGGGGGGCTTGGGGGGGGGGGGGGTTTCCCAAGCAGCCCCTCTTCTCAAGGCTAAACTCCTGTTCTATCATCCGCCTCCTGCTCTGATCAGCTCCCACATAAAACTCCCTCTGCCTGATGACTTTCCCTGCCCACAACTAAAAGCCGGCTTCAGAAATGCATAAATAAAAGATAGGGGTCAGTAGGTTTTAACGGTAAACGGTTTCTGAAAGATGGGGCGCATTTACCTAGATTTAAACTCCCACAGCACAGAGATAGGTATCACTTACATGCAAATGGCACATAAGGATCATACATTTGCAAGAGGTTTAACTTGCATAACATAATATACCAGAGTTAATGTTAAAGAGAGTTGCTGTAGACCATATTTAATATAGCAGTTTTTCTGATATTCTCTGTGTGTGAAGTTGGATTGCATGTTACTACACGTAAAGCATGAACTGCAACTACTCTGGTTATTTTGGGGGGGTGGGGAGGCAGTAAAAAGGGAGAAGAAACAGAAATCTGAAATTGTTCTGAGCCCTGGCTCTCAATAACGGGAAGGGGAGGGGTGCCCTGCCCCACTATGAGACATGTCTAACCAGGAGACCAGAGCAGGAAATGATGTGGCTTCCTCTCTAGCATCACAGGATGTCTCACTGATAAGAGATGTCCAGACTAAACACAGCCAGATTGAGAGCGACTCCGCTGGGCGTTACCTGCAGGGCACTTCCACTGCAGCACAAAACAAGGCAACAGCAAGTGCAGATAAAGGAACCAGCCCATTTATTAGATTAGAGTTTAACAGAGCTGAAGGTGTGTCCTGCCTTGCACTGTGACATGCACAAAAGCTTCGACAAAGGCCGTTTCCAGTCCTCTTATGTCCCTTCCTTCTCATGGGGTTTCCTACTAGCAAGGAAAGGCTAAATTCACAAAAGGCAGCTGCAGCTTTTGCAGGCTTGTGTCCCAAAGACGGGCCGCGTTGCAGTGTCGCTCACCGTGCTCTGCAGCACCAGCAGAGTGGAGCAGTAGTGCCAGCGCTCGTGCAGCAGGGCCTGAAGGCCGCATGGGGCCAGGCGTGGGCAGCAGCCGCTGCTCCAGCTTCTGAGCGAGCCCTCTGTTCAACAGCTACGGCCGGGAGGGCTGCCTGGCACCTCCTATGAAGAAATCCTGACTTCAAAGCCTGCCTTTTTACAAGAAGTTAGTAGGAGTAAAACTTCTAATTAATATAAAAAACAAAGCTTTATGCAGCTTTTTATCTTAACTCTAGTTTGGCAAATACAGGAAGTTTCTTACAAAAGTTCTCACTTTTGTATTTACTTGTTATTTTTGAGGAAACCACAATGCTGTAGAGAGGCGTAGCCTGAGAGAGCATCGAGTGGGTATGGGAGGAAACTCAACAGCAAATTCAGGGCTAAACATTTCTGTATGTTCATCTTGAAGAATTAGGTTGCTAAATTCTTACTGGATATCACTGTGGTTTATGCTGCCTATTTCCTTATCTTGGCATCGAGCTCCAGGTATGGATGGAGCATCAGGACAGCCTTCACTTTTGCCCACAGGCATTTGGAGAGGTCCTGGTGCTTCAGGGGATTCCTGTCCTTTCTGTCCCCTGCTGCCCACATTGTGCCCTCATGGCCACTCGATCCAGTCCCACTCACTGCTTTACTGCGGCCATTGTGACCCCCTCCCCCACCCCCCTTATAGTCCCTTACATTTAGTATGAAAGATGTAAAGGTTTTGTGTGTACAGTTGTTTTTGTTGGACATAAAGAGCTGCTGAGTGTGCATTTGGTCATGGACATTAATAACCGTCGTAAAATACCTGAAATTACTGTAGCTTTGCAAATTTAGCTTGCAGTTAGCTTTCCTGATTTGCTATGTCCTAAGGAAATATTAAGGGTATAAGATGTACATTGGCTGGAGTTTCATAAACAATTTGAGGTATTCTGCTATCCATATTAAAATGCTCATTCTGATAGTTAAGCCACCAGAAGTATTTAATAATTTCAAAGCTAAATAGCTCCTGCAGTGAACTTGGATTATTGTACAGTGGTGTATGGAAAAAGCTGGTGGAAGGGAATTCCTCCCTCTGCTTCAGCTTTGATCATCTTATGCCTGGAAGCCTGAGGTTTTACTATTCATCTCACTTTGTGGCAGGCTGCTAGTCGCTGTTTAATTGTACAAAATGACAGCAGTGCTGCAGCGGTACAGTTGTTTACTGTATTTTTCATTTGCTTTTCTCTAGATTGAGGACCTCCAGGTTAAGCTTCAGCACGCGGAGGCTGACAGGGAGCAGCTCCGAGCTGACCTGATGCATGAGAGGGAGGCTCGGGAACACTTGGAAAAAGTAGTCAAGGAACTTCAGGAACAACTGTGGCCTAAGTCAAGCCATCAACCCAGCAGTGAAAACACACTGAACAACCTGGAGAACTAAGTAACCACCACAGCATCGACACCACCTACAGAACGCTGTATATGCACAGTAAGGGAGGATGTGTGGGGGTGTGTGTGTAAGTGCATGTGTGAGTAGTTGTGTCTTAGCACACACCCATGGATATGGACTTGGACATAGTTGGAAGGCAGATGTTACTCTTCAAAACAGAAGCACTGAATTACATCTTTTCTTTCCTTTTTCTTTAATCCATACAGCACAACATCTTACTGTGCCTATAGAACACAAAGTGTTTATAAACAAAATACTTAAATCCACAGCAAATTTTCTACTGGCAGACTCCAAGCAAGCAGCATTGTCCACCTAAAATCAGAATAAAAGGCAAACATGGCAATGTTTTTATGTTGCCCTTCTGCCTGTTGGAACATTTTTTGGATTTTAAAAACAAAGTTTTGTTATAAGCTATTTAAAATAATTCATTATACAGACTTGGTATTAAAACAATTAACAAGATTTTTATAACAAACCTTTAAAAGCAAAAGAAAAATCTTCGATGCACAATTTTTAATGACTTGTTACAGGCTTTGGGATTCTTAACGTAGAAGCCCTCTGGTGAGGATGCCATTTCATAGCAGTTTTCCAGCTGCTTAGGAAGCCATCACAGTTTTAACCCTGTCACGTGGTTGTATGAGAATTTCAGAGTGCTTTTCAAGGATGATTTTTTTTTTTGTCTTAGAAACAATTATCTTCATTTCCTGTGCTGAAGAAAGGAAGATGCAGGGAAGAGAATTGTAAGGGGGGGGGAGAAGATGTGCACTCGCGGATTCTAAACCCAGCCTTACGGACGTCAGTGTTTGTAAATCATGCCATATGCTCTAAAGACATCTTCATTAAGCGGTGTGTTCAAGAGACTCACTTCATCCAAGAGCACTTCAGCTTTAGGAAAAGAAAGAAGGAAATAAAGGAAGGAAATGGATGATATGTTAAGTTGGTTGAGAAATAAAGCGGAAGGCACATGTATTTTCCAAGTCATTCTGAAATCCTTATACTTCAGCTTTCTGTTTTCTGGAAAACTCATCTTTATTGCACCATCTTACCATAAATTCAGTATTTACCTTATTCTGAACTGTCTGTCAGGATTACTGTGCCCAAGGAGAGTGCAACATTACATGATCGGATACTACAGAAAACAAAACCAACACTTTTGCTGCTGTGAATAAGCCTTCTTTTTTTTTTTTTTTTTAAAGAAGTTACTTTAATTTTGGGATCCAAGCCGCAGCCCTGGAATGAAAATGCAGCATGTCATCACTTTGTGTTATTACTGTTGTTGTTAGTGTTGTTAATATTATTTTTTTWAAAAGAACTGCACTTTGTCAGAAACTTTCTTTGCATTTTATTCCATAGTTTTAAAGTTTACACGATGAGCATTCTAGCTTCTACTCAGCTTAATATATGGGAAAAATCATCAACGTAGTTTTCCATCATGTGCCACTGTGTCATCATTTACATTTATGCAAAGCGAGTATTCAGCAGGTATAGAATGCTACCAAATACAGATTATCCAGTGTAGTGCACTRCTGGCTCTACTTTAAACCTGTTTTTTTGTGTGGCTGTGTGTGACAGAATATGGGAGCAGGAGCGAGGGGGCTCCCAGAAGTGCTTAGCAAACTCAGTTGGTGCTTTACTGAACAAGAGAAAAGGTTTTGGTTTTTTTTTCCACCCACAAACACTCACCTCTTATACACTCAATCTTACGAGTGTAAATGAAATGAAAATTTGACCTGGGACTGCAGATGTGCCTTCCAGCTCATTTTTCCCCTCAGCATGTTATATAGGAACTGCTGGTGCTTTTTTTTTTTTTAAAAAAAAAACAAAAAAAAAAAAAAAAAAAAAAAAAAAGAAACCCTGTGCATCATCATATGCAAAAGTTATCATAAACAAAGAACCATATTTCCAGTAATCTTTATTTGCTTTTGAACATTAATCCCAGTAGATTAAAAGCGGCTGCCAATCCTAAAGCTATAGTCTTTACTTACAGTATGTTAGGCTTTTTTAAACAAGAGCTGTTTGCTTGAAATCATTATAGTAATCATTATAACTGTGAGCATTAACAAGAAGTAAAGTTCATATATATGTTTTAGGTACAAAAAGAAGAAATATGAAAGGTGTAGAATTACTGGGACAATGTAGAACTCTGGGGAGCAAGAAACAGAGCGAGTGAAGTACCTGCAACTGTCCCTTGGTCAGGGCTTTGCCCCCGGTGTTGGGGCTGCTGGAGACCGAGTCTGGGTGCAGATCTCCTAAAGTGCAATGCAAAAGGAATATTGATTACGCTTATGCAGTTTTTTTATGTGAATTTTTTTTTTTTCCATCTTTGTATGTTTATTCTCTGCAATTATTAAATCATATGCATGGAATTAAAATCTCTGCCATACTTATATATTCACTAAGGGGCATTATTACTGTCTTACATAAAGGGTTTGTTATGCAGTGTGCATAAAAGTGTTCTCAGCCTTATGATGTCCAGATCTGTATTATTCACTTATTTCTTCAAGGGAAATTAAATAATTTTAGCTGTAGTTGAGCTTTTGTATTTCAAAGATCTATCATGTGCTGTGCTTTATTGCCATGTTAAGAAATTACACATAGAACAAATCTGCTTTTTCCTCCCACCACTGGCTTTTTTGAAGTCTTAATTTTTTAATTTTGATCTTTTTCCTGACTTTCAATTGTGTCTCTCCTCTTACGACTCAAAGACAACAAAAAGAATCGCAGCCATTTCTGTCTGAATTTGATTTTGTTTGTAGAGGGAAAGTGGCCTGCTTACCTGTAGCATGTCACCTCGTTTTTCCTTCTTGTGTTGCTGGGCGAACTTACTGATTTATTGGCATAATTTTTTTCTGTGAATATGATTTTTTTTGGATACTCCAGAATCATTAAATTCTGTATTTTTTCAAAGAAAACAATAGGATAGTAAATAATCTCATCACTAGCTGCATATCACACAGCATCACCTGTGTTTCACAGAGATTTGCAAGGAAGAATTCTCCGTAACGAAGCTACATACAAAAATGCTGTTTCTTCTTTTGCTGTGTATTACAACAGTTCTATTCAGTGTCCTATTTGGCTATTCAACCTCACACTTCGAAGAATCTTTGGTAATGGATGGATCCTAGGAGGGAGTGAAAACATCCTAATAAACACATTTTTAGAAACTACAGTGTAAAATTAGTATGACAGAATAAGGTGCCAGAAGACTGGGAACAAACCTTCTACACCAGCAGTTAAAAGACAAGAGAGGTTTACAGGGTAGGATTCTATCTTAAATCCTTTTGTGTCTTTTCAGAATGCATTTTAGTAGTAAAATCTTAATTTTACCACAGTAATTTGTTTCTCATTCATAATTCAAAAGAAAAATAGAGAGACTTTGAATCTACAAAATGTCTGTCCAAATGGTGGGATACTTTAGAAAAACTGTCTGTGCTGGTGCTGAGGCGCAGCGTTCTGTGTGTAATTTCTGCGGCCACGCTCAGCGCCGAGGCGGGAGCTGGAAGGTGGCACCGCTCTGAGCGCGGCCACCAGGGCAGGGGCTGCACAGGGACGGTCTCACTTTATTGTCCTTTAGGTAGTTGAAAGGGAGAAGAGGTGTTACCGACAGGCTGTTGACTCTCCCTGTACATACCAGTGTATTACTTAATCCTTGTATATTCAGTTTAATTACTCATTGTTTCTATTTCTGAAAGAAGACTTAACGAAGGGAAAAAAACCAACAGCAATAACATTCATATTTATGGAGCAGCTAACAAGTATACATAATATTCTGCTTTTCAAACAGAACTAGCCAATGTAAAAAAAAAAAAGTTAAAATTAAATTCAACATGTAAATACTTTTTTTTCATTTTACACTGTTGTATTATAAGTGTATATGGTGTTTACTTTTTCAGAACTCTTTCTTACCTGGTAGTTGTCTTGTTTTGAGAGTTGTGTTTTTAACTAAGAGCCTTTGCCGTCTGTTAGGAAAAACAACAACAACAAAAAAAATCTTTTTGCAAGTTTTAAATGTGGGTTAACCTTCCTCCATCGTTTGCATTTTATTCATCTTTATTTTCACTGTAAAGTACCTTATTACCAAAAGGTTGTTCCCTCCCCCCTCCATACTGCCTCTCCATACTCCCATCAGTCCCTATGTTTTAAAGTTTTTTTTCTTAAATCACAGAAATGACATTTTTTTTCAACTGAAGAAAAAATAAATCTTTACATTTATAATAGCCAATAGCATTTCAGCACATTTTTTTGTTATCCTGGTCTCTCCTATGCTGCTGCTAATGACAATATTATGACTTACTCTACTATTCTAGAACTATTTTTATGTAAGTAATGTATGCTTTCTTGTTTATAAATGCCTGATTTAAAAAAAAAAAAAAAAAAAAAAAGAAAAAAGCTTGGCATATTTATCTATTTCGCTGTGTACCTTCATAGTCCTTTTACACCCCCTTTTCCACATCCCCTCCCCTGGAAGCAGATAATATTGTAAAATAAAGGACTTTATGAGATTATGTATGAAAATAGCTATGCTTATATACCACAGTGACTGAATGTACAGTGTATAGACGCATTACCTAAAATAAAATTGTTTGTCCAGAAAAAAAAAGACTGTTTTTTGAGCGCTTACGGCCTAAATTGTTCAGGCCTGGTCACTTCAGTGACCTTAAAGTCCCAGGTATTTTACATTACACAGCATTCACTAACGATGCTCCCACTGTTCATAGCGCCCCAATCTCTGCACTCATCCCCCAGTCAGGTTCCTACCACGTCTCTGTAAACTAGCATTTGGTTGGTTTCAGCTCCGTCGCACGTGGCAATATTGAACAGAGACAGGAAATGGATTAGAAAAGATGTAGTCTTGCTTGCCGGGAGATTCTAATGACAAATTAAGTCAGATTGCTATTGAAAAGTGAGATGTGCAAGCATATAAAAATTTGTACCAGGTCGACGAAAAAGAAATACAGAGGAAAAAGGCAGACAGAAGATGGAAACATGTTAAAGTAATTCTCTCATGGTCTTCTGAGAAATGACAGCAGAAATTTCCATAGTGCTGGTATGTTTATTAGCATGCCCTTTTAAAGCAGTGGAAAAGCCAGAGAATGATGAACTAGCCTAAAAAAAAAAAAAAAACCATATTTCTGATTCACGCAGACTTGTGCGCGGGGTTTGTACGGGCCCTCCTTCCCCAGCGTGGCCATGCAGGCACTGAACGTGGCTGGGGTTTGCTCCGAAGTTGGCCGAGGCCGCCGCGGAGCCCAGGGCTTGGCCCCGCGCGTGGCGGCTCCGCGGGCAGCGCTCGGCCCCGCTCAGGACCTTGTTCTGGTGCTGCCCCGCTCAACTCTGGGAAATGCGCTTCCCTTCAGGAGCCGTTACAGGAATTGTGTAAGAATTCTACAGCAATTCTTAATAACTACCATGTTAAAAAATTACATAACTTATATAACAATAACATGTACATGTATAAACACATAATTAAAATACATTGTCTATATATTGCACCAAGTCCTGGAGTCTCTCCACCACTGGAACCTGCTTTTACACCCAGACCCACCTGCCAACAATGTTGCTGCAGAACTGGGGGCGTTCTCCTGCGAGAGGCTTTGGGTGTCTTTAGAGTTTCCTCGTACAGAAACCTGAATGGCTTTTTAAGCATGGGCCCGGCTGGGCGATCCGCAGCCCTGGCCACAGACACAAGTCCAGGGCTCTGGTTTTCCTGAGCACAGTAGACATCCTTGGAGCCCAGCCCAGCTAAAGCCAGCGCTGTGCAGGTACTGGACTCACAGGACTTGGTGTGCTTACCACTAAGTTTAATTTCATGAATAACAATAAGCTTGTTTCTCTATTAATACTTAGTGAGCTATAGCCCCTGCCTCAACTTCTATTCAAAACAGGCGCAAAGACTGAGAGGAAAAATCAACAGCAACGGAAGACGATTTCCAAGCTCAAAGTAGCCATCAAGAAAGAGATCAGTACTCAAAAAAATCAAGTTTTTTTTTTTTTTCTTTGTGTCTTATTCAAGAGACTCTTGTTCAGTCACCAGCAAAAATACTGATTCAAACACCCTGAATAGTCAATTATACACGTTTACAAAGGATAACTGCAGTAATAGCTATGACCTACCAAAACTAGGGTTAAACAGCACGTTTCAGGAATTTCTGCATTCCAATGAACAGCAGCCCTTATTTACACCTGAGAGATGAAGCAGGGAGGTCAAAGGAAAAAAAAATATCACATAAAAGTAGCAGAGTAGAGGCTGGACGGGCACTTTGGTCGACAACTGAGTGCCCTTCTTGGTGCCCACAGTGTCCTTGTGCCCATATCCTGGGCAGGTCCCACAGACCCAGAGCTCAGCCCATCTGCAGGAAGCAGCCAGCACCCAGAGGAGATGAGGGAAGCAGTAAAAACCCAGGAGTGTTAGAGTTAATGATATGTGAGTAATCCAGTTATAAAGGCACCATCAGTGGGAAGAAAGCACAAATATAATAAAACACAGTTGTATGACGTATGCTCCAGTGGAATTTTTATTAGATGGTTTGTGTGCACTCTAAGTATACCTGACTGCAATGTAAATTCCCACAGACTTGCAATTGATGGGGGGAAAAAAAAACAAAAAAACCCTAACTCTCAATGCTGAACTGTTTTAGCCAAATTGTTCTGTAGTGTCCGGGGTTTTTTTGGGKTTTTTTKTTTTTTTGGTGTTTTTTGCTTGTTTTGCTCTTCATCTTTAGGGTTTTATTATTGTATTTTCCTGCTGAGTCAGTGCTTTAATATGGAACCTGAAGAATGGCTGTCTTTCAAACACTGCTCCGGAGCCTGGCCCCTCTATCCCTAAGAGCCCTTTGGCTCTTCACCACCCCTCCCAAATGACCAGTCTTTCTCTCCCCTCTGTGTACTTCAAGAGCAGGACTGAAAGAAAACCTGCAGCAATTCCTTGATTAGCTAGTCATCAAAAAAAAAAAAAAAAAGTCATTAATAGCCCACCTTTATGTGCCAAGGTACAAAGCCAAGTACTACGTAATGCATTAACAAAGCTGATGGTCACAGCCTGCAAATGTGATTCATGCTGTAGAAGTGGATTTTCTTTTTCTTTTTTCTGTAGTAGCCCAAGTGATGATTCTCCTGCTGTTGATGTATGGAGCCGCCTTCTTATTTAATCACATACTGAATGGGATGGTTCTAACAAGCATCTCCTTAGACGTAAACCACTAAGTTTCAAAACCACTAAGTTTCTGTGGATCTATCCTGGATTACATTCTATCTAGCATGAACRCATTGCCAAAAGATTCAATATATATTCTTTTTAAGCAATACATTATCTTTACCCGGTGGTTTTTAACTGCTTCTAAAGCATGTGAGTTGTTAGTTCTTTAAGTCCCACAGATACCCTGGATGCCCAAGAAATTATAAGCAAGTAGTTTTGAGATGTAGCTCCAAACCTGCCCTGCTCCTGAACTGAGATGCTGTAAACAGAGATGCTCTCTCAGTGTGTGAGCCAGGGATCCTATGCTGCTTAATTCAATTTGGCAGATGACATTGGTGAAAGGCATTGATTTCTTTCCTCACTCCTCCTTTTTCCTCCATCTATTTTCCCAGATAAGAGGCCTGTGGCTCAGACCCCACTGGTGACGAATGCCTTGTAATTGCTTTGAATGGATTAGCACCAGACATCTAGCAGGCATTTACAGTGCTACAGCTGTAATCAGAAACAGTCTCACCCAATAAAAGGACTAAGGGGAAAAAAAACAGCTGTTTTTATTGCCTCTGCTTTGTCTCTGTTCTTATATTAAGCCTAACTTTTATATATACTTTTTTTTTTTCCTCAGCAATATCTACAACACATATATAAATCAGGGTCCATATAGGCTAAGTGCCATTCAAACCCAAAGAAGCTCCCTCTGCTTCTGACAACGCTCAGTACAGCTCAGGCCTTCCCCACCRCTGAGGACCTTGCATTTGGGTACCGGAGTTTGTACCCATTTGGACGGGTAACATGGTGAAAAGTTGTAAAACCAAAAAACACGTCTCTTGCTACCTATTGTTAATATTATTGACTAAAAAACGTTAGACAGGACCCTTCATCTCTTCACACCTCAAAGCTGTTCTGCTATAGTTAAACATGAAATATTTCCTGGAGCAACTTGAGAGCTGAATAACCAGCGAGAATCCTTTCCTGCACATTTCAAACTGATGGGTCTAACCAGTGGGCCTCATTTTAAGCAGAGCTAAGTGCCCAGAACTCCAGTGAATCATCCCTAATAGCGTCTCGTATCAGTTTTTATATGTACAAAAGTTGACTAATATAAAAAGATGTTTTTTTTTTAATTTAATCACATAACAAGAAACATGAAAAACATTTCCAATTTTTGCACCTTGAAAAGCAGAATGAAGGTGGGTAAAGAGATGACAGTGGAGTTGCTGGCATGCACATACAGGCTGACTCTGCATGGCTTGTGCAGCTGGAAGATAATGTGCTTTGCAGGTCACTAGCTTTAAAGCACTGTGTTATCGCTCTGTAACATACACCTTGTTGTGTCTTACTGCTTAATTACAGCTGGTATGCAGGCCATAGTATGGCTTATCATTAACCAGAGGATGACAATTACTATTTAAGATTAAGCTCTATTCTTTTTTTCTTCAGCCAAGTCTCTGTATGATGCTTCCTTAACCCAAGAAAAAATTTGCACATGCAGAACAAATCCATACACTAATTGGTTATGTGCCCCTCGTAATGATGTATAATTTAGGAAGGATGCATTATGAAGATSACGAGCAGCACTCAGATACTGCATGCAGCCCATATCAGAGCTCAGAGGATCAACCAGGCTGCTAACTGTGCCCGAATAAACTTAAATGCTAACGAGGGCAGCAGAATATTGTGCTCACCCACACAGGCCAGGCAGCCTGGGATAGTGTCTAGAGAACTGCCTCCGCCTGCAATAAGCTCAGTTATTTTTCTATCCACTTA